CCTGTTCGTGGCGAAGCTCTATGTTTATCGTGCCGAGGTCTCGGATTCGATGGTGGTGCTCAAGGAAGAACTGAAAGGGTCAGTACCGGAGAAGGTACGTAACCAGGAAGTGCCGGTGACATAGCTCTGTGATAGGTAAAATGCCACGGATTGTATTTGTATCGAAAAGATGATGGTGAAACGATGCGTATAGCCAAAGCTCTACTTTGTGAAGAATAATTAGCGCTTGTACGGCTCTCTTCGAGTCATTGCTACAATGCGTGCCTTTACATTTATATACAGAAAATGATGATGATGCTGATCTATCTTCACTCAACTATTTTCATAAAACAACGAAAGTAATTGCATATGATGGATAATAAAATGCTAAATTCAGCTGCAAAGACAATGACAACCTGAATGGGAAAATTTCTCCTAGTGCAATCACCAACAACCGAACATAATTTTTGTCTATGATATCCAAAATAATAATGCACTACTAATTAACTCTTCTAAAATCAAACATAAGATCAGTTCTCCTTCTTTTTTGTCATCTCTTTCTATTTGGAATGTTCGTTTCAATAATCGATTCGCTACTCAATCCTTCCTGTGACACAAGACTCGTAGTATCTTTTTCGGATCGGATATATTCCACCGTTCTATTGTCGGAGGCAGAGATTGCTTTTTCCTCGTATCCTCGGCTCCATTCTCGTCAATTTTAATTATAACACTAATGAATGCCTTTGATTAGCTTGTCCTCCCGAGGTGAACTGTGAGGGGTTTAACGAATTTGCAACCGAGCGGGAACAATCCTCTTGCGAGGCGAAGCTTGCAATTAGCATGGCCCTCCCAAGCCCTACTGATGACAACTTATTTTCTCATTTTATTATTCAAATAACGAGCAACATCATATGACACCTTGCTTATTAAGCCTCGGGACAAGGTGCGTTTGTTTCACCAAAAACTTCATGATGAATGAAAATATTTTCCATGAAAATTATTTTCAAAAAAATTAGTTAGTTTTCATTTGTTTGGTAGTTTAGGGAAAATAATTTCTTTCTTGTCAGAAGGGGAAGTTCTTTCTCCCAATCTAAGCTTCTTGTTTTCAGTTTATGGAAAATGTTTTCTATAGATCAATTAGATTCCCGTCATCTAAAGACTGGAAAGTCGAAAAACAATTTTTCAAAAACAATTTTACTTCAAACAATTAGACCCTAAGTGATGAAAATGAATTCTAAACTACTTGAGATGTGAGATCAAACTAATTAACTACTCCGATGATGCAATAATCACCTAAACACAATCTAGATACATTTTTTTTAATCTTTTCCTTATTGTTATTGTATAAACCAACTAAGGGCTTAAAAATGAGAGAAAAGCTAACTGAATGCTTATAAACGAGATGTCAACTAAATGCATGAACAAACTTAGTAGAAACATTCAATTTTATTTCTGGAAGAAATATCGGTAACAGTCCTCATTTTATTCCAAATGTTTAGATATATGCAAAAACAAAGATTCCAAAAACGTAAATAATAAACGACAACACAGTAAATTTTCGATGTGAAAGTGAGTCTAAACGCAATGGAAACATGCTAAACGATGTAGAATTATGTAAACAAACAATGAGGTCGGCTTGGGACGCATCAAGGGGACCGTGAATCACCAGCAAAGAGGTGATTTTTGGCCAAGCAAGGGATATAAGTAGGCTGGCCGAATTGTATTGGGGCTTAGCTTACGAGGGCTTGATCTTGCAGATTCAAATGAATTTAGAGCCCCCTCTTTTCTAATGTCTTAATTTAATCAAGAATGCGAATGCAAAACTATCCGATGTAGATTTTCTTTTGGGGTCCCTAATTTTTATACATGAGAGATCTTTGGGCGAAAATTTAGGCTTCAACATATATTATTTCGCACTTATCTATGTAGTATGTTAAATTGAAGATAGTAAAAAAAATAAAAATAAAAATAAAAGCATGTCATAAGGTATATAACTTGCATATGTCACTAAGGCTATGTTTGTTTTGCGAAAAACATTTTCCGGCATTTGGTTCGCTAAGAAAAATGAGTCAACGAAAAATCTATACTTAAATTCAGGAAAATGATTTCCTATTTAAAAAATCAAAAATCATTATCCAAAATATGACTAGGTAACCACGCTTGATCCGAAACTCTACGTTTGAGCACGGAAATCCCAATGCTAGTTCTCGGCATTCAGGACCAGGTCTTCGACACTCGAGCCCAATTCCTTGGAGGTTGGGCCCGAAGCCCCCATGCCCGTGCCCGATGCTCTAGCACCCGAGCTTGGGTCCACAAAGGTCGAGCGCTGGATCCCGGTACCTGAGCTTGGATCCCCAACACTTGAGCCTAGGTCCACAAAGGCTGTACTTGGGTCCATCGAGGTCGAGCCTGGAACCCTGTGCCCAAGCTCAAGTGCCCGTGCCTCGATCCCTGGCGCTTTGGTCAGGGTCCATTGAGGCTGAACTTAGACTCTAGTGCTCTTACTCGGTTCCTCGGTTGCACATGCGCAAGTTATTATCGCTCAAATAGTGTATGTCTATTTAGGAAAATAAAATCAGATTTTACATATCAAATGACGGAAAATATTTTTCAATTAATTTTCAGGTTTTAAACAAATACCAGAAAATATTGTAAAATGACGTCTAGGAAAATATTTTTAAGAAATGTTACATTTTCCGTAAAACAAAACGGAGCCAAAGGCTACGTTTATTTCAATGAAAACTTCATGATTAAGGAAAAAAATTTCCATGGAAATAATTTTTAAAGAAAATGGTTAGTTTTCATTTGTTTGATGATTTGAGAAAAGTGAATTCTTTCTTGTCAAAAGGGGAAGTTGTTTTCCCTAATCTAAGCTTGTTATTTTCAGTCTATGGAAAATATTTTCCATAGACGGATTCTCTAGAAAGTTGAAAAATAATTTCCCAAAAACAATTTTCCTTCAAAAAAACGGATCTTAACTTCATCTCCTAATCTCACCTGGTAATTATGATGACATAACTTTCCAACAACCTTTGGAATACGCTCAAATGTGGACAACAGTTTCTATCTTGATGTAATTGTGGTGCTTGATGCCGCTATGCTTTGCTAAGTTGTAATTCTAAATAAATTTATTTGCTAAGCGATATGTTCTATAGTGATAAGTGGAATGGATGTCTTATACGAACAAGGAAGTTATGTACTTTTGGAGTGAGATGTATCACCTTAAGAATTCTACATTTTAACGTTATCTAGGCTAAAAGCAACCTTGAATGCGAAAGCTGGAAAAAAAAAAAAAGCCCTTAGACTATGTGAAATTTCGCTTCAACTGGTTGAAGTCTTGTCAAAGAATTTGAGAAAAATGATGCTAATAGTTTCTAAACTTTGATTCAGTATGCAATACATCTTTGGAGGTTTAATTTGTTCAATTTAGTTCTTGAATTATTCTGAATATTTAGTGCAGTCTTTTTGTTTGATTAAACTGGGGAGAAAGTCGGCGCAAGTTCCTAAACTAGTTTGAAATGTGCAATCTAATCCTCGAATTGTCATTTTGTTCACTAGTCTTCAGCTTTCCATAGCAAAGTCAAACCAGAACTTCAATACTATTAACAAATTTTCATAATTTCACTATTACCCAGATTTTATAATACTTTTCATTTCAATCCATTTGCTAAATCAACAAAAAATATGCTATCTTTGTAATATCGTTTTGGTCTAACTATTACTCTAGTTCCATTTAATTATATTTTAGCTTATCTATAATACTAAAAGTAGAACCTCATTGAGTTTTATTGGTCTGGTCAAACAGTAGTTGACATTATAACTCAATGTGCTCGACCTGTTACAAATATGACAAACAAGGTGAGGCTAGATCCGAGAATACTTCCCTGCGTAAATAGGGGAACATAGGGCCTTGAACCACCACGAAGCCAACTAGAGGAGGTGGAGGAGCGATCAACGAAGGGAGCCAATGATGACTATGAAATGAACCGATCATAGGAGAATTGCAAGCCTGGTTGATTACGCAAGTTTTGTCCACCATGTCCTTGACCAAATTTTTTTTCTCCCAAACGAGACCCTGGGAATGGGGGAGTGGGTAAAGTGGCATCGCCCATCAAAACATGATGAATAACGGATATAGATGAGGTATTCAATTTTGACGAAATCATTCTTCCTAGACGAGGAGTCATGACTACGGCTCATCGAATAAGAGAATTGTAGGGCCGTTGGTGACCAATTGATAAAGAGATCATATATAATTGTGTTCATAAAGCTTGATGGAGATGAGATTTGTGATGTCGTGAACAACTAGAGTCAGCGAGGTCGAGTGTGGGACCATCATATGAAAAAAAGGAATTGGAGCAGCAGGGAACAGGGAGAAGAGGTGGAATCGGGCGTAATTTTGGGGGGAGGTGATGGATAATTGAGATTTATTGAAACATAAGAGAATGGGTAAAGAGGTGAAGAGAAGAAGAAAAAACTGGAGATGCGTCCGACATTATTGAGATAGAAATAGGAGTAAAGGAAGTTTTAAGTTGTGGGGTAGAGATATTGACGAATTTAATGTGTTTTCATGCTCCAATAACATGTGAATCTTTAGAGTCAGAGATAGAATAAATATAGAGTGTTTATAGTGGTTTGGCTCTAATTAGGGTTGCGTGATATGTATTTATAAGAATAATTAATTGTAGTCCAGATACAGATAGAAACATAAACACATAGAGACCCCATAATATATATCGAACACATATTAATAGTGTCTCCATAAAACATCGGTTCCATCCTCAGGGTTGCTTTGCTAGAGAAGAACACATACTTCACAATTCTTCATAAATGGCTGATTCTGTCTATCTCATCATGTACCGATTTACCCGAGATTCTGCACTTTCTTGGCTGCTTCTAGATTGATTGGTTGGGCGGTGGCTGAGTGGACTGCCCAATCCCAACTTAAAAAAGAGAGACTCTCCTCTCATCGATCACGTGTGCAAAGAGTTCCAACTCCAAATCGCAGAATGAAGCACACGAGGACGAGATCTATGTTAGATCTACTGTTTCTCGGGATAAGAACTTATGAATTAATCGATACACACACTATTTCTGGTGAGTCCACCATGATACTCATCTTGCGGTTCTTTAGTCATCTTTTTTCCGCCCATAGATTCCCAGAAGAGTGCATGCTTGTAGCCCAATTCATGAGCTTCTTGAAGCTGTGAGTACCTCGCGGTTGAAATTAAGCAACCTATGTGTTGCTAGTTCTGCTGATGATACAAGAATGCATGTCATAATATACGTAATTCTTTGGTATGAGTATAGCAAAAAGTATGCAGATTACCTCGATCTCCTTCATTTTCTCACACATATTCATCCTGCAACATGGAGAATCAAGGGTGATTATGTGGTAATATCTCACATCATGAACAGCAATAAGTGACAACGATATATCGGCTAAACTCATTCTATGGATGATAACTGTACAGCTTTTATAGCATTGTATAAATAAGTATATACGTGAGTATGCAGATGGAGTGATTCATAATGGACAGTCGGAAAAGCAAAAGATTATCGACTGATGCAATATATGCACAGTAGAGTGCCAGCAGAGATAAAAAATTAACTCAGACACCCATCCTTGTAAAAAACACATTGCAAGATATCATTGAACTTCAAAAGGAAAAGAAGAGGGCTTCCAAATGCAAAAACATGAAACTCAATACATACATTTATCCACAGACCTGAGAGAATCTTTCAAAACAAATGAAGTTTCTCCTTGCAGAAGATATCTGATATATTTAGGAGAAGATCACGCATATATGGCGCAAAAGATCGGAAAAAAGCACAGACCTATCAAGATCTGGCGCTTCAGGAGGGAAAACAAGGAAATGGACCACATAGATACCGACAATTGCTACGGTGTGATTCAAAAGAACATAACAACATGAGAGGTCTCTTCATCTCAGAAAGATCAAAAAGGAAAGAAAAACTATGAAAAGAAGCATACAAGAGTGATATTGATTCGGCTCGTCTTGAAGATATTACATAGCTAACAGTAAGCACGAAATGCAGAAAGATGAGCCGGATCAATATCACACCATGTCTACTTCTCCCAACAAACTTCACTTGCTCTTCTCCTTCTTCTTCTAATTCATTAGAGAGAGAAGAGAAGCTATTTAGGGCCTGGTTGTTTGTGTTGCAGCTTGTTCCCCTTTTATAGTGTGGAAACGGATATCATCAAAGGTTTTGACGCTCCCTCAGAAAGGAATACGGATAAAGTAGTGGATTGTAACGCTGAAATTGATCTACCAAATTGATATTTGACATTGATGATTTCGCGTTAAGTATCGGATGTCGCCCATCTATAATTTGGCGCATCACTTTGATATGCCAATTGGATCAATAAATTTAGTATATCTGGCATTGCTTTTACGATTATGATACGTAACCGAGAAAATCTATTCACAAATTTCATTTATAAATTGATGCGGTGAACGTTTGTTCGGCTTTGAAACACAACTTATCTAACTCTTTCTTTACCCAAGCAGGTGGAACCTGTAAATCAATTACGGTCCACTCATTAACGAATCGAACGAGCAATGCCTCTAGTTTGCCACCTCTTTATCTTAAACCCTAGGGCAGGATTCATGCAGATTTCGTAAATATAATATAGTCACTAAATGCATAGTACATAGTTAGCTCCTTCATCCATTAATGTCAGGGCGATTATTACAAAATGCCCACGTCACAATTATGGCCTAGCCAAAATAGCTCATGAGATTGATAAAATGTTCACAATCAATCGTCCGTCATATTGTTTGAATTTTATTTAGCGATAAAATGTTAGGTCATTACAGTTTTCAAGAGTCAATGATTGAGTAATTGCTTGGTCTAAATTACTCCGATGGAAAAAGTATTTCTCAAAATAAGTAAGTCTATCAAAAGCTCGATCGGATAATCCCATCCATGATTCCGTTGAACTACGAATTTGCTTTTGTTTTTCGGTGAGGATCCGTCGAATACTAGCAGAGATTGTCCACAAGTATGCGTTTTTTAACGACGCGGACATTAATTAAATTTTCTAATTGCATCATTTACATCCACACAAGCTAACTAACACTTTTTTCTTTTAAATCTACCTTTGCTTCTAATAAAACACTGTCTTGGAAAGTGAATTTCGTCGTACTTATTACCGGTATCTTGCATCCACGAAAACGTGCTTCATTTGCAAGGAAAAAGGCACATTAGTGGGGGAGAACAAAAGCTCACGGTCCCCCTAATTTAAGCCCCTAATAGTAATTGTGATTGGCAACTTGTCTCGAAAGGAGTAGGGGACAGGATATAAAGCCCAAGATAGGATAAGTTTGTCGAATATCTAATTCGATCCTATCAACGATGCAAAAAAAGTAATGGAAATTCGTACAACACAACAATTTACGTGGTTCAGCAGGGGAGATGTTCCGCCTACCTACGTCCACAGGGAGATGAGATCTGTTTCACTAATAACGTAGAAAAGTGTACAGCCGCTCTTTCTCACTCCCTCCTTCTCTCTCTAGAGACCTGTTTCGCCCTAAATATATAGCGAAACCCTACATAGAACAAATTACAAAATTGCCCACATAGCTTAAAACATTTAACTTTCCCATAGAGATCCTTCTATGACTGAACATAAAACGCCTCTGGCGGCCCGGGGGCGCTGCCCCCGCGACCCCCGCCGGGGCGGCCCCCCCGGACCCCCGCCCGCTCACCGGGGAGCGGGACCCTCGTGCTGTCCAGTCGTCAGGGGGCCTTTCGGAACCGCCTCATAATTTATTGGATAACAAAATACAAGACATCAACTTCAACAAAGTTAAACATAGTTTTGTGCCAAGGACTTACTGTCCTTTCTTTTATGAACACTGTTCGATTCGAACAAGCTTTTCTTTACCTAATCGGAAAAGAAGACCAAGGAGATTCCTCCCTTTGAATAAGAGAACATTAGGCAATGAAATTCTTCTTCTAACGCTTACAGGTCACTAAGAGTTTGGGCTTTTCTCTTCGAGCCACAGACAGGAAACTTTCTAAGACTAGAAGAATTATTAAGATAAAACCAGCGATCATTATTAATTGATTTCTCCTCTTGCTCCATTAGAGATTTTAATTATCTTTTGAAATTATTGTTAATGAGTGCCCCCAAGATGTTAATTCGACCTGACTGGTTGAAGTAAGTCTATTTCAAGATGTCGAAAGAAGAGTAAATCATAATAATATTTAATGCATCGCGTGCAAAGCTTATCTTTTCATATTTTCAAAGCACTTTGAAACTTTGCTCGACAAGCATCTCCAAAACACATGTCGATCACTCCATTTTAAAATGCTGAATGGTGTCGCCGCCCTGAAGTCTCACGTGGTTATCAAAACCCTAGAGAAAATCTAGGGCTCCAATTATAAAAGGCAAAAGAATCTAATCCTTTTCTCCAACATAGGGAACTCCCCAATGTATCCTCTTTTCCTTTTTTCTTTCTTTTGAATGGCTCATTAAGTAAGAACAGTAGTCAATTTGCAAAGTTCGGTCATCGCAGCGATTCCAAAGTAGGCCGAAGCAGGAGACATGTACATCTTTATCGATATGTGTCAAATTCCCACGATTCTGAATAGAGATGAAGCAGTCTCATGCCTGTTTTTCAACACAAGCCAGTTGTCTCTTTACCAGTATTTTAAGATTAGCACTAGAGATGAAGCTCGAATATGATGTCGAAAATTGTCCAAAAGACCTAAACTTAATGTGCAAAGATTAATTAAGTTCCAAACCTTTTAATTGTGCTAATTTAGTCATAAATATTTTAATAATTTACTAATTTAGTCTTAAACCTAGTAACGATTTGTCAATTTAGTCCTTTCAGCACTAGCCGTCCTACGTGGTACAGTCGACGTTGACGTGGACAATTTTGCAACTTTTTTTTAATTTTAAGAATTATTTTTCTTTTTTCCCTTTTTTTCATTTCTTTTTCTCTTCCTTTTATTTTTTCTTTTTCCCTTCTTCCCTCCACCGACCCAGCGGAGGGAAAAAGGGAAAAGGAAAAAAAGAAAAAAAACATACAAAAATTGTCCACATCAGCATCAACCGTGTCACGAAAAAAGACCGGTGTTGACGAAACCGGTGCATCAAGGATTTCTGGCCAAAATTGGCCAAAAAGACTAAATTGACAAATCATCAAAAGTTTTAGGATTAAATTGGCACAATTAAAAGACTTAAATCTGAATTGGCAGCCATACAATATGATAGATCAAATCGAACCATTCAAAAATACGAGTTGCAACTTTTTTATTCGACAATCATAGGTTAATATACACGTATTGAAGTGCATCATTAAACCAGTAAAAAAACTTCAATTAACAATAGAATTTGGACAGGAGGCAATGATATCAAACCACATCATTTAATTCAAACAATTGATTGGTCGGCGACATTATTCCAAAATGTTCTACCAAGATGTCGTGTTAGTTTTAAAAACAAGATGTCTAAACTTTGATTTCTCGTGTCACTGAAGGAAGTGACTTTTACTAAACCACCAAACAAATTAAAACTAACAATTTTCCTTAAAAATGATTTCCATGAAAGATATTTTCTTTTATCACTAAGTTTTTAGTAGAAAACAATTAGTTTTCGTTTGTTCGGTGGTTTACAGAATGTGATTTCCTTCTAGCAGGAATGGCAAGTCATTTCCCCTCAATCTAAGCTTCTTGTTTTCAATTTATGAAGAACGTTTTCCGTAGATCGATTAGTTTTCCATCCAAACTTCGGAAAGTCGGAAAACAATTTCCCAAAAATAGTTTTCCTTCAAACAAACGGATCCTTAGTGAAGGTAGCAAAAACAACTTTGAGTTCTTTCAGCAGAGATATTGACTTTAGGGCAAGGGCTTCATTGGGAATTTTTATCAAATGGTGTTTCTTCTTAATCTATAAAACTCGTTCTGTCTGTGAAAAGGGAATTATCATTAGACAAGAACGTAGGATTTTTTTACATTAACGATACTTCATGGCTGTGATGAAAACTGACGATATTTTGCTATTAGGATATAATAGGCATTTTTAGAAATTTTCTCTGAACGATACAGCCAGTTATGCCATTCCGACTGACTAAAATGCATCATCATCTCGGTAATTCTACTCAAGACATCGATATGATGTCGAATGTTCAGTTTTACTATGGAACTTGGGTGTGGCAAGGCGATCATTAGAGGATACTTTAAGCAAGAAGTTGTGGAAAAGGAGGTCATGCTTGAATTCGACAGCAAAAAGAAAGAAAGAAAGAAAGGGGAAAGCATCAGAGTCACTTAGACTGGCCATGCTGCGGTGAACAAGCCAATCATTTAGACGTTACAAACTTCAAACAGAAACTCCTTCCTGATTCGCGCTTACTCAGCACGAATTTATTGAACAATTTAACATTATTTGTACATAAGAAACCAACCTCAAGTAGAGTCTTCTTATGTATTAACATGATTTAGTGACCGAAGGTTTGTGCTGGTGCTGGTCCAGGGGTTGTATACTCTGACTTATAGTCCTCCCACAGTTCGTTCACAGACTTCCCAAGTAGCTTCACGAAGTATGCATCGCTGTACGAGTCGATCATCATGGCATTGAGGTCCAACACGAACCGTGGTCGGAGCCCTTCACAATACGCTAAGAAGTTCGCCGTGATCGCGTACCCATCATCCCATTGCAACCCCGAGCCTCTGGGAGGCCAGCCCTTGTATGCCCATCCGGCAGTTAGCCTAATGTAGTCAGAGATCCCGGTTATGAGGCCCACTGGGGCGCTGCCATTCCCTGTCCATCCCCAGACCAGGCCGCTCGTGAAGTATAGGATCCCCGTGAACTCATCCTTCACGTTGCCGGGGAATGTTTGGAGGTAGTCCGCATTCATGAAGGTCTGGCTTCCATTGGTGGTTGCGATGGCGAAGGGTCTGCCATTCGCACGAAAGCTCTCGACCACAAGCAGAATGAAATCGTAGCCTCTCCCCCCGGTCTTGCTTTGACCGAATGTCTTGAGGACGAACTCGGTGGCAGCTTGCAAAGCGTCCGAAGCGTAATCCAACCCGATCTCTTTATTGAACCGGCTGTCTAGAGTCTTGGTGGTGTTGTCAAAGACCTCGTATTCGGATGGTCCATTGGCTCCTGTCGATTTCAGACCAACCGCGAAGAGGATGACGAAGAGAAAGAGCTGGGTAGGCCTCATTTTGGCAAAGGATGATTTTATTAGCTCTTGCTGTGCAATCTCTCGAGTCTATTCGTTCACTTTATATAATGTTTGCGAGCGATGAAAACCGTGAAACATGTTCCATTTAATATAGTTGGCCCCTATGCCTTCGAAACTTTAGTAAATGTCACGATCGCAGATTACTCGCTCGATTGAATTGCCTTAAGTTCCGCGTCGATACAAATGAGAAGATTACAGTTGTCTCTTTGTTTTTAGTTTGGGGTTTGTCTGGTATATTAAGACGTAGGGATGCGTTCACTCTGCAAAAGGCCGAAGCACGGCGTAACCTCTGATGAGTTCCTCCCATTCTTCTTGGAAGAATCGACTTCATGTATCAATTGTCACAAAACGTTAAGGCAATCTAATTAACAAGACACACGTAGATACAAATTGCATAAATTCATTCTACTAAATCAAGTTGATCGCAATTTTGTTGCTCGGAAATTTTTCCCCATTGTGTACGTAAAAATGTGCATAATTCCGAATACCTTTTTATTGTCAATTGACTAGACATGAAATCTAGAGAACCAGTGAACCGTAACTCATATACTTAAGAAATAGAGGTGAATAAGGACGTGAATGATAAAATTTCTCTTCCCCAGCCCCATTTCTGGCTAGAAATAAAAATCTATTTCTATTCGTTAGATGAGTTTCTGAGTAAAAAGTATTATTTTATAACGACATAAAATTTTCATTCCCGGAATAAAAATTTGTTTGATAGGTTATTCTTAAAATTTTTGTTCCCGGCGGCAGCGGACAGAAGCAGACGGCCGGCTGGCAGGCGGCAGGAGGCAGGTGGTGGACGGATGGCCAGCAGGCGGAGGCAAATAGAGCGGGCCGTCAGCGGACAGTGGTGGGTGGCCGGCAAGCGGCGGAGGACAGCCGGCGAGCGTTGGGGGCGGACAGCCAACGAGCAGCAGCGGACGGCGGAAGGCCGGCAAGCGGCAGCAGATGGCCGGTGGGGGGGGGGGGGGGGGGGGGGGGTGGGAACGGCCAGTGAGCAGTGGGCGGCAGTGGGCGATGAGATAAAAAAGAATCATATTTCAACCGACTAACACGAGGCCGACATCTCTTTTTGTAGTTCAAGTTTATGAGCTAGTTTTAAGTATCTCTGAAAGATAACCAGAACCATTGAACCAATTGTCATCATGAACTGATACAGTTAGGCCACGCGATTAGAAGCACGCCGCATGGACACCTCATAGGTGGCGAGCACCATAAAACGATTGCCAGCCCATGTTCAATAGTTCATCCTAAGACTGGTTAAAAAACCATGTTCCCCAACAGTTAACTTGGGAAGAGAACAGTTTCCAGCAACATGAATTTTCTTTCAGTAACAGTAGATTAGTGTCGTTATATGTTCTTTGATTTTACAATTCTACATCCGAACATACTAAGATGATAACACTCGATATGGCTCCATTTCCTAACCCCAGTAAGGTGGGAGTTTTTAAGGTGGTGAAGGACTTCCATCGTGAGATGAAGAAGTCAAGTGGAAATGGAGATATAGGTTCAGAGAATGACAGACAATGCACCTCTGTGCAGTTTAAAAAGACAGACCCACCTAGTTATGATGGAAGGGCAGATCCAATTGAAGATGAACGTTGGATCAGACGCAGAGAGGGGATCTTCAAGGCGGAAAGAGTTGCTGGTTATTGTATGGTTGACTTTGCCACTCGCTTCTTAGGGGGTGAAGCTGAGTTTTGAGTGACCATGTGACTGTCTCTTGCAGCGAATCCTGTAATGGTTTTCTATAATCAGTCTTTCCCACTGTCATTTCAATAAAAAATGAAACGAGACTTCCCGTATATATCTCAAGGAGATTCTACTAATATCGAGTAGGCAGCTCAGTTTTATACAGCTCAAGCCTTTCTTCTCACTTGCTGACTACCTACAAAGATGTTCTAGAGGGTGCCATCAAAGTTGAGCAGGAACTTGAGTGCAGTGCACTCAATACACAACAATGACAGTAATCATTCCAGCATAAAGATGGCTCCCTTTGAAGTTTTGTATAGTTGAAAATGCATAACACCTATTTATTGGGATAATGTGCAGGAAAAGAGATTAACAAGTCGAGAGTTTATTCAACAGTAAGAGGAGAATTTGATGTGGGAGATCATACATTTCTAAAGGTTTCGCCCACAAATGGTTTTGTGAGATTTGGCAGACGTGGCAAGGTTGGTTCGAGATATGAAAAATCCTTCATATCATGTAGAGAATGATTGACATTGCTTATCAGCTCGCCTTGCCACCAACCTTATTCGATGTCCATATAGATTTCCATGTTCCATGTTGTGAAAATATGTCCTGAACTCATAAGTGTTAAATTATGCACCTTCAACGCTAAAGGAAAAGCTTATCTATGAGGAGTAGACGGTTCACATTGTAGACATAAAGGACCAAAAGGCATTGGACTATTTCCTATGTGAACGTTCAATGGAAAAACCATGTCAAAAGGGAGACTACTTGGCAAATCAAATAGGAAGCAAGATGTAAATATGCACATTTATTTGAGAATTGATATATGCATTAAATCTCAACTTCCATGATGAAATTTATTTAAAAGGGGTAATAGACGGACCCAAATAAGAAAACTTGAGGAACCTAATGGTTGGGCCAGTAACTAGAGGCCCAAACAGTTCCTCCTCAGCCCATTTAAGTGGAATAATCTACAAAAGTTCTTTTTCTTGCAGTTGGTCTTCGTGAAATGGAAGAAGAAAGAGGGGGAGAGAGGGAGAAGCACGAGAAATAGACGAAAAATATAGGGAAATAGTGGTGTTCGTTCGAGGAACTAGGGGTGAGCATGGTCCGGGTTGGGCCGGTCCACCCCCTAACCCTAGGACCAACCCGCACAGTGTTGGTCTTCAATTTTTGGGACCGAGGACCGACCCTATTGAGAGCCTAGGACCGAGGACCGGACCGACCCAATGGGTTCGGTCCAGGTCCAGTCAACCGGGACCAACCGATAATTTTTTATTTCATTTTTTGTACCGGGTTTAACCGGGACCAACCGACCCAATGGGTTCGGATCGGACCGAGCGCGCGAGTGGCGAGCGGCAAAAGGCTAGCGCGAGCGGGACGAGCACTTTCAATAACAAGACGCAACCCACAAGATGTAAGGAAATTCACGAAAGACTAGCATTTTCACGACCAAATCGCTAGCAAATGTCAACAAAGGGAATATGTTGTTGAGGAAAACTCCTATTGATTTTGAAGTTGACAAAACCTTCCATGTTATTGTAAATCGATACTTATTACAACTATTCTATTCCAGGAATGTATATATATTATGAAAGCTCGAATGAAGTTTTTCGACTTTACAAGTGGTAAATACATTATTGAAGACCCATATAATCTAAGTTCGAGACTCGGACACCGAAATTATTCGAGACGCGGACGGAGAAATTTTAAGAAGCGGATGAAGCTGAAATTTTTCGAAAGCGACGCAGAAATTCTTCGATCTGAACTTCGAACGAAAAACAATAGCTAGTGATGCGGTATGGATTTCACGAGAGAAAGCTTTGATCTCGGCTGAAATTATTCGACGCAGACGGAGAAATTTTAAGAAGCGGATGCAGAAGCTGAAATTTTTCGAAGCGAGACGCAGGCACGAAATTCTTCGATGCGAACTCGAACGAAAAACAATAGCTAGTGATCCGGTATGGATTTCACGAAGGAAAGCTTTGATCTCAATCAAATTGATTGACAATCAAAGATTACGACAAGCATGCATAACAACTTCACAAGCTCCACATCAAATACATCCCGTAGCTTATATTATATATCACACATGGGAGTTTGCCACAAGTTCACAATAGTCGCAAGTAAACACAACAACAACTTTCCTATTCTCGGGAATCAAAAGAGCAAGCAACTTATTAAGCTTTGAGAGCTCTTTCACTTCAAGTTCCAACATCCGAAAACAAATAAGTATAGATGAAACAAGTCTGAAATAATAGTGTTTACAATTTACGGACACTTTGTATTGAAGAATATGAACTTACGCATGAATAAAAGCAGCAAACAACTTCTCGGGCTTTGAGTGCTCTAAAACTCCAAGTTCCAACCTCCCGAAAACAAAACAACAATACGTATAGATGCGAGATGATCACACAACATTAGTTATAAATTAGAACTACAAATTGAAATCAAACAATTATTGAAAAATCTCACCACATATATTCCTTTCGCTTCAACTTGTAAACTCTATGTACCGTTAATCTCCACGTTAACATGATCCATATCTAATAAAAAGAAGATATTAAATAAAGCATTCACTCATTAGATATATGAAATAATTACAAGATGAAAAGATATGGCCTTACCCAACTCAAACTTTTCCGCATTCTCGATGCACTATTCAATATTAATCGGCTCGATAACCGCTCTCAACCAATCTTGAGTGCAAATCAAAGCTTCCAAGACTCTAGGAGTCAAAGAACTTCTAAAGCCATCAAGCACACGACCGGATGTACGAAGGTAGACTCGAAGCAACGTAGTTACGAGAAGCAGACAAAATATCCCGAGCCATCAAAGATAGAATTTTAAACTTTTGACCGGTCATGCTCCACCACATCAAAATGTCAAGATCGCGAGCCTCTTCAAGTTCAGCTTTAAGATACCGATCGAGTTCGGATAAGTTGCCCTCGGACTTCTTTTTCTCCTCATTAAGAAAGGCTTCATATGATGGCTCTTGCACGTAGAAATCCAAACCGCAATCTTCCCCTTCATTTCCCTCATCGCAATAAGGATCGCAACTACTACCAGCACTAGTAGAACTCAAAAGTTGACCACCCAAATTCTTATCACAAGACCCAAGAGAAGATTTCTCATAAAATTTAAACAAACGTTCCATGGCGAACTTCACCTTGTCAAACATCTCATCAACTATTGCAATATCATCATAAATGAGTCTACAACAATACCTCACATAATTCATTTTTTTCTAGGATCCAATGCTACACAATCAACACCATCATATTCACTTTCTCAAAACTCCCATAGTATTTGTCAAACTTATCTTTCATTTTCGCACCCATAACTCTCACCCTAGGATCGAAAGCCTTCGCGCTTCTTTCGGATAATTGAATAAAGAAGCTATTCCCTCAAAATAATCATTTGAAGTGATATACAAAGTCCCGGACATCTTGTTGGTTGCATCATAAAACTTCTTCAAAAATTTGCAAAGAATAATGGCATTTTCCCAATCAACACTAGTTGGAGTATCGGAGCTAAGCTCGAGTTGAGAAAGAAATATCTTCTTCATCCATCCTTTCAAAAGCTTTTCTTAGCTTTATGGCGGTGTCTAACATTAGGTAAGTGGAGTTCCACCTAGTGGAGACATCAAGACAAACCGAACCCTTATAAGTGATCCTTGTTTTCTCAATGCAATCTTGAAATGCTTTAGCTCTCATGGGAGAACTTCTCACATACCTAACAACGTTACGAATACGTGCAATAGAATCGCGTACCTCAGCTAAGCCATCCCTCACAATCAAGTTTAATATATGAGCCGTGCACCTCATGTGTAAAACTTCACCATCTAAGATCAAAAGTTTATCTCTTGCAAACTTTTCTTTCAAATAACCAATGGCAACATCATTCGAACTAGCATTATCCACAGTGATTGTTGACACTTTTTCTCTATTCCCCACTCGTAAATGCATTTCTCAACCATTTTCCCAATATCCCTACCCTTGTGACTAGGCAACATCACAAAATTGATGATTCTTTTGTTCAATTCCCGCCATCAATAAAATGTGCGGTGAGACATAAATAGTTCAAATTCGAAGGGAACTCCATGTATCGACTCGTGAGTGCGATTCTAGAATTAAGCTTATGAAAGGAAGCCTTCAAACTCTTTTTTCACAAAAATACAACTTCATACAATCTCTAGCCACCGTAAATCGCGACACATGCTTGAAGAGAGGCTGTAATTGATTGGTATAATCACGAAATCCAACATGCTCACCATCGAAAATGGTTGTTCATCAATTATAATCATTCGAACTAGCATTTCCCTACATTTCTCCGATCAAACTTCCATGTCGTTAAAAACTAGCACTTCCAATACTAGTATTTCCCCTATCATTTGATTCCCACATACCGTATGTGATGCAAACAATTTTTGCTTCTTATCTATATTGCGAGGATACTTAGGGCACTTTCTCAAATGTTTCAACATAGTTGAAGTGCCATTATCAACATGGTACAAATACTTGGTCCCACAATAATTGCAAAACATTTCAAGTTTCCCGTTCGCGTCTTTTGCCTTTACGAAAATGAAGCCAAGCTACTGATTTTCGCTTACTAGATCGAGGACAAGAACCGGATACCTTATCTCGATGCCTCTTCAAAGTCATCTTCCCTCCTCCATGTTCTAGTGATTCCGATTCAATTATTGGTGTTATCTCATCATAGGATTTCTCTACTTCCATTGACATGTTAATAGATCACCTGCTCAAATCAAGCAACATGTCATTAACGGATAAAATTTAAGGTCATCAAGATTCAAAACTAAAGCTAGAAAACCCATCTAAACGACTCAAACGCAAAAAACGACGTCGATCACGGCGTAGCCGTGATAAAACTTATCATGACGGGTAGGCTTGATGGGTCTTGTTAAGCCTCCCAACCAGGCTTGAAGGTGAAAAAACATTGAGACCATATAAGAGCTCAAGCACTTGTCAACTGAATACTTCACAAAAAAACAAAAGAAATTTACCAACATAGCAAACTTAATCGAACATAAAATACCAAGAATACCAATTCTAGAACACCAGCGACTTGAACATACTAGTGATGGTAAAAGAAAGCATCTTTTGGGCATGGATGTTCCAAAATTTTGCCCTAAAGTTCTACTATCATGTTAACAAAAGTATAAACTGAGAATCACTCGTGAGATACGAGAGCATGGCTCATAATCAAGGCAAGCATTTATAAAATTGCACAAGTACAGAATGTTTTTCTTTTTATTCAAAGCTTGATGCAATTTAGCAATTGCTATTGTACACAAAACCAAACTTTCGAAGGGTTCAAAACAAACCTACAAGATGCAAATCACCAAAAGAATATCGGCGTAAGAACAAGCTAATCTCGCTTGTGTTCTCTCGTTCGATTCTCCGGTGTTTTTTTCTACCGTCGGGATTTATTCAGCAAGTCCAAGAAGAAGATCTCTTAATCACCGGCTTCATCTCGCTTGTCCTCTTCCAGGGAAATCATTCCCAAGTGCGAAGGATCCTCCAGCATCATCTTCGCTACCAAATATCCTGCTATAGACCATGATTGGTACTTTCTTGCTTGCTTGCCAACATATCTACCCGTTTTACCATCATAAAACAGAGATGCTACGAAGACCCATCTAAGTGCATCATTTTGTAAATGACTTTTAATGGGTAGTTTCTCCAACTAAACTACCCATTTACAACCCACTACCCGAGCAGCAAATGCAGAGGAAAAGCGGCGAATTTGACCAACCCATGTCGAGAATCGCACGAAATGAGACGCTATCAAGCACCGAAACATGCGAAAGAGGAATTCACACGAAATAGAGATGCGACGAAACACGCGAGGAATTCATGCAGCATAACATCCAAAGCCCAGCAAAGTGCGTGGGTTTCTTCGCACACGTACACCCCCACATTCAGCGAAACGAAGCCACACCCCGAGAAAATCGAGAGAGCAAGAAATGCAAAGGACAACCGGCTAGAGAGAGATAGCGAGAGCAGAGACACGCGTCGCAATGGAAGAGACGGAGACGGAGACCGGCGGACCCGACGGAGACGGAGACCGGGCGATGGAGACGGAGACGGTGAGAGCGGAGAGGAGAGAGTATCGGAGATTGAGACTTGAGAGGCGTCGACCAAGAGTGACTGAGTGAGCTTGTGTTGTGAGAGAGTATCCTGATTTAGGGTTTTGAATTTTTAAATTAAAAATTAAAAATATTATATTATATATATTATACCGGTCCGGTCCGGTCCGGGTGGGGTGTGGCGGTTCCACACCGGAACGAACCGGACCGGTACCCACCGGTTCCAAAAATTGGAACCGGAACCGGACCAAAACCCTTAGAACCCACCGGTCCCGGTCCGGTTCGGGCGGTCCTGGGCGGGTTGGGCGGGTACCGGGTTTTTTGCACACCCCTACGAGGAACATCGATTGATGCTTGGAAACCCCATTTGTAGTAAATGACACCAGGCTAGAGATTGATCATTGGACTCGATATCGATACTCTGCTATTCTATGTTTTAAATGCTTTGTTGTGAGTAAATATTTTGCTATCTTACTATAGATGTATTGATTTGGTTCTATATGTTCTTTTAGATGCTTCTATCGAAAAGCAAGTTCGTCAAATGAACATAATTGTTGTTCGATCCCATATTGAGACTAAGTACCACTCACTGAGCTGTTGTATGCTCACTCCTTTTCGTATACATTTCTTACCCCGTGATGCCTGTTAAGTGCTATTCGATGTGGGCATTTTTGGGTCGTATGCTTATGATACTAGTTAGTGACCAAGATTGCAGCACTTACAGTTACCTCAAAAGCGACTCGACAAAACGAATATACCCAGTCACTTGATTACTCAAAAACCCAATTTTCTGCAGAAGTTTTCAATTCGAAAGCACACTCCATTTTGGTAAACCCCTTTTCCTCTTAACATTAAAAGAACCAAAACATGTACAGAGGAATCTGTCTTTCAGCACTAGCTTTAGTACTTTGGTATGTATAGTTTACAAACAGACTATACCATATAAACTCATCAAAACTGTTTAGACAAAATGCAGCTCCAACACATGATGGGTCGTCTAAGTACCTGCGCCTTCTGCTTTTGGTGACGAAGAAAACAATTGGAAGTCGAAATATCATGAGGCTTTCGACCTTTGTTTTCTCTTGTGACTCCTCTTATTCAATAACCCCTTCTGGGCCATTGTCTTAAGTTTCTGCTTTTTACGTGCTTTCGCCTTTTCCTCAAAGCCATCGTCCACCATTTTCATAGACGCCACTCGTCTGGCCTTGTAAACCTAGTAACAAAGAATTCTTAATGAGATAAATGAAGGAAAACCAAATTTGGCCGCACAGGTAAAAGTTCAGTATTTGCCACCAAAAGAGATATATCTTGGTGTAAGTAAGCTATTCCACTATTGGTTAAAGGCAATAAAGAAACAGTAGTACAGAGAATACCATATATTTCAAAATACACCTCAAGTAAATTTAAGAAAACATCATGATTCTTCTATTTCAAAGGACATTATTGACCCCTAATACAACAACAACAACCAAAAACATATCGACCACTAATATTTTAACAAATTACAGTGGACAGCCCAACAAGAATATTTCTAAAGGTGACTTCTGTCGAAACCTTTTCTTTGTAAGGATTACCTTGGCAATAGGTAGCAATAACCATATTCGTTCTTGATTCTCCACTTTGATAATATTAATACATTAAAGCACTAGAATATTAGCACTCAAAACAAATGGAGGAAAATGCAATAGATAACAAAAAAATCAAAGGATGCTGGGGCATCTGCCATTCATGAAATCGCCCTTTAAGATTATGCCTAGGATACCAACAGTAATGACTGCAAGGTTTACAAAACTAAGGATATGTGGACAAGCAATCTTAAATCCCTATGGAGGTAAAATATTTGAATCATCTGGGAATCTATTTTTGCACATCTAAGTCATCATCAACACCAAATGGTATTTCAAAGCAACATACCTTTGTAATGTCCGAAAGCACCTCGTTCTCTTTACAGTCAAACTTCTCGAGTTGTCTACCAACGACAGCCTCGATTTCTTGAATCAATGTAATGTCATCCTACAGAACCAGTGTTCCAAGGTGAATAGGTTAGGCAAACTATATTATAATTATCATGGAACAGAAAGTTTGAATATCAGGAATTCCCAAGGCACTCCATATGCCATATGCTCAAACAGAAGCACAAATACATAATTAGAGATGCATGAGTATGCTACACGTAGAGCCTGTGTTGGGCTGGTTGCATGAGAGGCAAGTGCACAATTGTACCATGCCTGTCTGTATATGCCTACACGTGTGTACAAAGGAGAGAGAGAGAGAGAGAGAGAGAGCGAGCGAGAGGAGGAGGAGGATGTTACAAGCGTCATCCCTTATATGCTATATACCTGGGTAACAAAACTAATAGCTAACCCTCCTCTGCCTGCTCTTGCAGTACGGCCAACACGATGGATGTAATCTCGAGGAAACCTACCAGCAACCAATGACTTTGTTACTGCAGAAATATTTAGCAGAAAAGCTTACAACGAAAAACAATGCTGTAAATTAACGTACTGCGGGATGTCATAGTTGATGACAAGATCAACCGTAGGTATATCCAGACCACGACTTGCAACATCAGTTGCAAGTAGTATAGGAACTTGGCCAGATTTGAAACGGTGTAGAGCAGCAAGCCGTAAATTCTGTGATTTTAAAGAATGCAACGCTGCAGCTTCTTGATCAAGTTCTTCGAGCAATAAACTTAAAAGGTGACAACTTCTGCTCAACATCACCAATAAAGACACTTAATTAGAGTTTAATGCAAATCTCATTGAAACTAAGTAAATTTTTTCTTTGAACCAATAAGAAAGTATAAGCACACAATATTCACCAATAACAAAGCACACCATATTATCCTCAAAAGGCAAGTCATTATATCATTCTTTCTAGTGCACTACTCGCACAATACCAATGACAAGCCACCAACACTCCTACAACTTGTCCGGAGAGACAAGTTACCGATACCTGAACCCGATCAGGTGAGGTTCTGTTAGATGTTAAAACAGAGTTGACGCAGTTCAAACGGACAAAACAGTTCGACCAGACAGGGGCACTTCAAAAACCTAAAGGTCTCGTGGTGGAGCAGGGTCTTGGACCCTGCCCTGGCCGAGTGATCACCCAATGCTCAACCCTTGAAGTAAGGCAGCTCTTTAAACAAATTATTTATACTGCAAATCTTTCATAGCTTTACAAATATAGTGTGTAGGCAAATACTATAAGTATTTAGACAAGCATAACTAATTAAAATTAAATAGGTCAATGTAGGTCGATAAGAATCAGGTCGACACAACCCTTTTAATTAAAAAAAGTTCAGACTTGTCAGGATCAGGTTGACCGGGTTCAACTTGAACATGACCCGTCTGCCAATTGTGTCAAGCAGGTTAAAACAATTATGATAGGAACTTCATTAAGATAAATCCAAACTCACTAACTTTATGCATGTCATGTAAGAATTGCCACACCAACCTAACATCTTGGTTGCGCTGGAATTTGCATTTATGCGTAGCACAATTCTACAGCTATAGATATATATTGCATATTTTATCCTTAACAAGACTAACTAAATCAGCTAAGTTTTTAAATTAACTGCAAGCCTCACCAGTACTTACACTAGGACAGTTTAACGACATTGGCATCCATCAATTTAGAGTAACTGACTAACAAACAGTAAAAATTACTATATTTTAGACAGAGTCTATATGGACCAGATGGAACTTTCAACAATATAATAAAACAATAAAAAATCCTCAGTTCTATAAAGATTGCAAGTACAAACTGCAGAAATACACTAAAATTCAATTCTCATGCTAAAAGAAGTTGTGCCAATACAACTACATCACTAAGGTAATTTAAGCTATCAAAGGTAAAAAGAGTAAGGGGATTAGGTAGTCCACCTAACAACAAACAATAAGGATTATTTGGATAAGTCAAACGCAGAAATCATCAGACATTTCAGTTAAATAACTGCATCAAAATGACCAAACACTTACCACCCATTTTTATATTTCATACAGATGTAGAGAAGGAGAAAAAGATAACCCAAGTGTTCAGAAAATCAGGCAGGCGAGAATAAAAAGATTCAAACAGTTATGGAAAGCATCAGCAAATAAAGACGATAAATGCATGCTAAAGATCACACACACACAATGAAGGTTGAGAAAGGCCATAAATACCTGCAGGTGGAGACAAATATCATGACTGAGCGGATACCCATGTCTTCCATTTTGGACAAAACATGAAATAAATACACATCCTTGACATTTTTTGGGATGAATACGTACTGCTGCTTGAGAGTGTCAACAGTCTTGAAACCTTCATATGCCTCATAAAAGAAAGCCTTATTTGAAGAAAGCTCAAGCAATGTCTGGAGATCACTGGTAATTGTAGCAGAAAATAACAGGGTCTGCCGTTTCTTTGGCAAACATTGAAAGATTACTCTAAGCTCCTCTTCAAAACCAACATCCAACACTCTATCCGCTTCATCCAAAACCAGGAACTGAAGCAAACAAATAGGAACATATCAAGACGATTTCTTCAGGTCCGTGGAGAAGTTTCTTCTCAGTACCATGATACGATGCATGACCTGGTTTGATAGATCTTACTATGTCTCCAACAAAGAGCTATGAGATGTGCACTTCTGAAATGAACTCTGGGTTCATATTAAGGAGGAAAAGAGAAAAATCCCAAAACTTAAACAACACAAAGCAATATTTGAGTGGTTATTTGGATTGTATCCAATGGCTGAAACACTGGTAGCCTAGATAGTAAGTTCCAAGTTCCGCATTTTGAGAGTATGTAAGAACAAAATAAGAATGACTAGTTAAATGCTTCTCTGGCATCATAAGTAGTTTTCAGGGGAGGATTTCAATGCTTATCAAATATGCATTCGAATTTAAACTCTTTTGACTGCTTAATCCAAAAATAGCTTCACAAAAACATTTGCTGTGCATCTAGTAGCAACTATTTAAACTAGTCTTTCCACAGGAGGGACAGTCATGAAAAAAGAAAAATCAACTTGCACATTGAGATATTCCAATCATACAGCTAGGCTGTGAATATTATCATATCAACACACTGATCATGGCATTTCTAACTGATATATAAACGGGGGATTTACCTTGGTGTTAGAGAAAAGAGGAGGGATGTCAGGATTCTCATCAAGCAAGACCTTGATCCTGCCGGGGGTGGAGATGACAACGTGAGGCCTTTTCATCAGATTCTGGGCCTGGCTCAACATGTCCATCCCTCCCACTATCACAGTACACCTCAGGTGCAGGCACGACCCCAATGCCCTGAACTGCTCTGCCAGCTGATAAGCTAATTCCCTAATACTCAGAGCTTTAAAAAACATATACATACAACTTTAAATGTAAAACCAAAAAAAAAAAAATGAATATGACAATCAAACCTGGTGGGAGTGATAACGAGAGCGAATATGCCGTAGGGGTCAAGGGATAGGCTGTGGAGAATGGGAAGTGCAAAGGCAGCCGTCTTTCCGGAGCCAGTCTGGGCCAAGCCTAAAACATCTCGACCGGCCAGGATTTGCGGGATGCAATGAGCCTGAACGGGAGTCGGCTTGCGCATCCCCAGCTCCTTGCACGTCTGCACTGCCCACTCAGCCAACCCCAAATCCCCGAACGTCACAGAATCTCCTGGCCCGGTGCTAGTAAGGCTAATATCCTCCCTCACTTTCTCCACTTGCTTTATCGACGTCTCGGCTGCGAGACCGGAGGAGGAGGAGGAGGAGGAAGTAGCTACGGACAATGACGGCAGTGCTTTAGGCTGTTTGGGGCATTTCCGGAAGAGAGGGAAGCCCTCATCCACCAGGGACTCTTGGTCCATCACAAATCCAGAAACAACTAAGCAGGAGTCGTCTTGTTCCCAAGAAGATGGCCAGCAGAGCAAGAATCAAGTTGGTCAAAGCCCCTCCAGCGCACCCCAGCAGAAGGGTTGAACGAAGCTGCAAAACACCATAGAGAGAATCCAGCATGTGAACAAAGACCAACACAAAGCATGAGCCTCACAACATCAAACGAACTAGCGATGTCATAGAGTAACAACAGTGTAATTAGAACAGAAGAACAAGAAACCAACTGAAAATTCCTCTTTTTGAGCTGCCAAGGCATAAACCCAACACTCCATTCGGTACAACGTACGCGCGTCCGGTCACAAACAACCTCCGCCACTAGCCTAGTTCAATGTCAATCTCAAGAAACGAAACCACCCATAATCCAAAAAGAATCTGTAAACACAAGAGAGAGAGAGAGAGAGATGGACGGTTACCCGGCTGCGACGGAGACGGAAACTCGGAGAGCGGTTGCTCGCCGGCGGCACGCCGCCGGAGGGGTAGGTTGCTCGCCGGAAGGCGGCGGTCCGCGAGACGGAGAGAGAGGAATCGAATGTGAGGTGCGACCGGTCGAAGAGTCAAGACAGGGCTAACGACAGGGAAGGCTGCTAGGTTTAACTTGGGAATTTCTACTCTCTTTTTTTAATTTATGTTATTTTAGATTTTTTTATAAGTGTGTTTTTTTTTTGGCTATTTCTTGAAGATTATGACGTTTATCTAAAAAAGTTGACATGTTAATTTTATGGAAAAAAAAAAGACATGGGTAAGGGCACCGGCATTGTAATGAGAGATTTTTTATACTTGATGCATTTAGTGTCAACAAAACTAGGGTCTTTTCATAAAAAAAATTTAAGAAGGAAATTTTTTGAAATTTTAATCTAAATAAAAACCTAATTTCATTGTGATTAGACACTATTAACAAGCAATTATTATTTTGAGTGCAGAGTATAAAATGATTCTTTTTTAAATTAAAGAATATTTTGATGATTCTTAAATTATGAAAATGATTTAAAGCATGGGTAAGAGCACGAAATTTAATTATAAATTTTAAAAATATAAAATATTTATATTTATATAAGAAATTTTCTTGAATGTCTTGATTGCATTATTTGTTTTAGAAATAAAGCAGCACGTGCTTCTCTTATACTAAAGATTAGGTATTTTTTTTTTTTGGTCAGAAAAGATTAGGTAATTGAATAGCTCATTATCTAGATGAAGTAATTGAATATGTGGATTCGTAGATGGAAGCTACTAAGCTTATAATGACTTTGAATTATAAAATGGACTCCAGCATAGAAACATTGAGGGAAAAGTGCAGTAGAACCCATAAACTCATGTATGGAATGCAATCAAATTGTAAATATTTTAATTGTTCAATAAGTCGTAAACCTCATTCAAGAAATACAATCAAAACCTTTCTATGATCAGTACCTATGGCTATGTCTCATTTTCAAATTATCTATTTAGAATTCTTAAATGATACTTTATATAAATTTTAAGACTTAATTGCAGTTTTCAGTAAAAGTTCAGGACTTAATTGAATCAATTGAAAGGTTTAGAGTTCGATTGAACCAATTAAAATGTTTTAAGACTTGATTAAAACAATTAAAAGGTTGAGAACTTGATTGTATTCCTTACATAAATTTATGGTGCAATTTTCGCAAAGGATTGATAATGGCAATAACACAAATATTAAGAACAATGTTGTGAGTCTTATGACGTGTTAATTCTCTAATTTCCTTATTGTATATTTTTGTGCAATTTAAACCATTAACTTTTACAAGTCCTTTTTAACATATGTATTAAATTTCAAAAAACGGAGAATGATCATTGGTTGGGCTTGCTTAAAGATGCCTTCGGCTCATGTGGCTCGAGCCAGGCATGGACGGGCCTGTGAGTTGTCAAGCTTATAATCAGATCTTGTTAGTTCATTAAAAATTTTCTCAAATTTAGAACGTACATTTGAAGTTGAGATTCTTTTCATCATCATATGGTCTTCTGTCGGTTTATATCCTACATTTTTTCTTCTCTACTTTTTATAAGTTTAGTGCACGTTAGAGAGATATACAAGACAACATAAATTATAATCTTACTATCACGTGTTATATTGTAGAATAACTCATATTATCTGAAAATATTATTAAACACATGAACTTTTCTGACAAAAAAAAAACACTTGAATTTAGAAAAATTATAAATAAAAGATATATCTTTGAAATATGACTAGCAGCACGAGGCGGTTGGCTAGGTGCGACTCGGGGTGACCCATTTCAAACCTAGCATGTTATAATCGGTTCCAGCTTTTGGAACCTGAAACCTTTCATGTTTGCCTTGAAACAAGTTCTACCCGAGAAACTGGAGTATGTTGGTTCTTCTAAAACTGGACTGTCAATGGATGAAATCAAAATAATCAGACTTGTTATGGTATCGATTTACATGACCCCTGTGCAGCTTGCATCTTGCAAATTGTTCCTTCAGGGCACCCAGAAAACAACTCTGCAATTGGGTTGCAGATTCTTGTTGATATCCACACGTGTTGGTGCTACTTCTACCTTAAGTTGCAGAGCATGTATGAATGGATGGACGGATGATGATCAATTTCACTAAACCAAGCGCCGAATTAGCCAAGAAAATTTTCCAAACACAGACATTACCAGCTAACAGGGAAGAAACAGAGAAGCGGACCAGGCAGATAATAAGAGGAGTCAAAGTCAGACAGAGGCCCCGTTTGGTTCAAGATTTGGGAACGGAAAGCGAAAGTTAGCATTTGGGATCTTTGAAAGCCCAAAGCTGGTCCGGGACCGGTTTGGGCTTTGACATTCCACAAATGCCGAAGCCTATTTTTCCTTCCCAAATTGCCCTCACTCAAATTTCTTTATTCCGGTTTTGTCCATGTTACTGTTCATCTTCTTCACCGCGAGGGTGGCCGGCAAGGGTAGCCGGCGAACGGCCGGCGAGGGCGGATATAGCTGGCGAAGGGCCGGCAAGGTCACCCGACCCATGCGGCCGTCACCTGGGGTCGGGCGACCGCCCAGGAGCCGTCGCCTGGGTCGCGCGACCTCAGGCGACGTCCGCCTGGGTCGCGCGACCCCGGCGACAGCCGCCTGAGGTCGCGCTTACCCCGGACAACGGCCGCCAGGTCGCGACCCGAGCCGACGGCCACTCCGGGTCGCGCGACCCGAGCGACGGTCGGCTCCGGTTGCGACCTCGGCGACGCAATCGGCCTGGTCGCGACCTCAGCGGCCATCGCCCTCGGGGTCGCGCGACCTCGAGGCGGCTGATCGCCGGGTCGCGACCCAAGCCGACGTCGCCTGAGGTCGCGCGACCCAGGCGACGGCGCCTGGGCAATTGCCTGACCCCAAGCGGTCGTCGCCTGGGTCGGGCAACCTCGCCGGCCAGATCTGCTCTCGCCAGCCACCCTCGCCGGTGAAGAAGATGAACAGTAATAGGGGCAAAACCGGAATATTAAAACTAAAAATTGCCAAAGCTCTTTAAAAAAAAAATTACCAAACACTACTTGGGCCAAAGTAGCTTTACAAAATTTTTTTTACCAAACACCACTTACATTTCCCCAAGTGGCTTTCACCTAAAGGTATTTGCATTCCCCCAAGTTGCATTTGAAAAGCCGAACCAAACGGGCCCAGAAACATGTACATGTACTCACCTGCCCGCAACTTGAGAGAGTGGCACTGACGGTGAATGAAGAAGACCCGAGCTACTGCTGCTGCTGCCGCCTTCTCCTTCTTCTTTCTCTCTCTGCGTGCACGTCAGAATGAGAGAGATGGAGCTTGGTCGCTTCGGGCTGGGTTGGGATGCTGTGGTCGCACGGGCGAAAGTGGGAGAATCGGAGACTTAGAGAGGACTGACGGAGGCGGCGATGGCAGCAACTGGTGAGGTTTTTGGTTTTTAGCTTGTGAAACCGGTTCCAAAACCAGTCCGGTTCCCGGATGGTTCTTCACTCGGAATTGGGAACCGGACTAGTTCCCGCTGCGGAAACTGACCCCCGGACCTGCCTAGATAAAATCGGTCCGATTGCACACCCTGACTCCAAACCACCCCCTACCCAGTAGCACCCATTAACTCAGACAAGGGTTGGAATAAGATAGAAATTATTCTACCCGGCATCTAGGTGATACACTTCGGATAGAATAAGGTCGGAATAAATAGGAAAGAATGCTGGATAACTCATCCTAGCAATAAGGGTGGGATAATTTTCATCCCATCAGGATAAGATCAATCGAACACCGTAAAATGAAATTGAGATAACTGCATAATGTGGAGTGATCGAGAGAGAGAGAGGCAGCGCCGGCTGCGTTAATGGCGATCTTCACCTCATTGGTTCAGTTTTCAGGTGTTGCCTCCACAACGGCGATCTCTGGCAACTGTCGCGAGGTGATCGTAGCTCCCATGTGACGACATCCCCCGTGAAGGTCGTCGTCGTCACTTGGGTGCTTGCTCACTGTCTCTCTCTTCTCTCTAGCCCAATGGTTGCATTGTAGTTTTTCAGATCCGTCACAATGAAGTCCTAAGACCACTGCATCCGAGGCGGCCTCGACCGCGGTGGTCGCCATTGACAAGGGCTACCGATCGCTGTGGGCAAAGGTCCCACAGTGTTCACCAGATAGATGGTCGGGTTTATTTGTTCATTTGAATTTGGCCTTCCTGTTTAGATTAAATTTTTCTAATTTTTTAGTTAATTATTTGATTACTATATAAGGTTCTATCCGACTGAAAATTCAGTTGTTTTACTACTCTATCAATGCATACACCAGCAAGCATCTTCTTTTTATAAACGAGCATAAGTAGAGGAATCATTGAACATCCAGAGATTCCAGATGTGATGATCCTTTTCTTGCTGATAATTTCTTAGGCAATTTGCCAAAAGGACCATGCAGAAGGTCATTTGATACATAGCACAGAACTGGACAATTGGCATATCGTGTGTCTATTTTCAAATGAGGCGGTCTAGCTGCTCAGAACTGGACAATCCATATGCCCATTCAAGGCTAGCGAAGGACAAGAAATGTCCAATTTAGATACGGTGAACGGACCATCCGCTATGCTCTTAAAAATCCATCTGTATGCTGCTTCCGTGAAATGGAGGCCGTCCCAGCTTGCGTACGAGGACGGGTCATCGCATACCTTCGTGTTGGAATCGCATAATGCAGACATGTTATAATTGTAGGTTCCTCCTCCACCACAGCACGCTCTAAGTGTTGGGATTTTGGCACAAAATACCATAGAATTGAATGAGAAGTGTGTGGTTGAAAGTGTCCCACATAGGGTGAAGAGAGATGGGAGATGGGTTCAAATAGTTGAGCCTCACAAATGGGTTTGGGCCCCAAGGGGTACCCCACTTTTGTGGAAGAGAGAGGACCTACGTCAAGCTAGGTCGGTCCACCCCCCGCGCGCGCCGCCGCCGCCGTCCCTCGGTTCGGTTCGGTTCCGGGTCCACTCTCTATCGATTTTTTATTTTTTATTTTTCGAACAGACACGTTGTTTAGAAATTATTTATTTATTTTTGGACAAACAAACATGTCTGTTCGTGAGGTTCGGTTCGCCCGAACGAAAACCGAAGCCCTTCGCGCCTGTTCACGAACC